AGTCTCAACAGATGCTGTTTTTTACCTTTTGGCAGTCATCTGCTGATGCTGGATATAACTATAATGTGATGTCATAATACCATGCAGGAAGATCAAGGGTCTGTGGAGGGAGTAAAAGAGAGGGAGAGATGGGAGTAACAGGAGGAAGGATTGGAAGAAGCAACAGAAAACTGAGCTGTTATCTTGGCTATTAGATATTGGAGATATGACTTTTGTATCTTGGGCAGAATGTTTCACTAATTTTCATGTCTTTTTTTAAGAAAAAGAAAGCGAATTAGACTTCTTATTGGCCAAACTGTGTGTTAGTTTGGAGTCACAAGCAAAGCTTTAATTAAATGGAAACAACCAAACAAAAAATTGGATTTCTGAAAAAAATAATGGATATGAGCATTAAGACCTGCAGTGGGAACATAGTCTAAAAGGTGCTGAACACTGGAGCTCTAGGGCCCGAACTGAAGACCCCTGAGTGTCAGATGATATTTCACTTCAACGTGGAGAAAATCAAACATCAACTTAAAAAATCATTAAACAAAACACAGTATTATTGTTTGTTTAAATGTGTGGTGTTACAGTATCATTGTATGTGAACTTTGAATGAGTTCTGAGGTTTGAAAATGAAATCTGTTTAAGAAAATCTGCTAAATGCTTTTAAGTGTAAAGCTGAGATGAGCTGAGAGGTTGTTTGGTTGATGACATCATTGTGTGGCTGAAGCATCACAACAGGCTGACTGGTTTAACAGAGACTTTATGTGAAAATATTCTAGTTTATCATTTTATCTATCTTATAGTGAATATGTTTTAAGGTCTTAATACATGTAAAACGAGTTTAAAAAAATCGAAGATTCCTTTTATTTTTGTTTTTTACATCTCTATTTTTTAATAACTTTTTTTTTATTTGGTGTCCAAAGATTTTAATACCTATGAGTAGTTCTAGTTGGGGTTTTTCCTACAAATATGACATATGTGTTATAATGTAGCTGTAGCTTTAAAATAAATTGAGTTGCTGTGTCTATTAATGTCTGTTAATGTCACCCATCAATGTGTTAACTACGTATATTTCTCTGCTCATTGTGGGCTAAAACCTCCAGAGCTCTGCTGCTGCTGTTCACCACATTCTCATCAATCACTTCCTCTTCAGTTCATAGAAAACATTTCAGAGGTTAAACTGGAAACCAGCAGGTTTTAAAAGTAAAATACAATCTTACCAGTGTGACTGATCTATGAAATTAGACATTTGATCTGCTGCTCTTCATCAACACAGATCAGATCTCCTTGATTTAACTGATTGATTCTGCAGGTTTCTAAAACATCTAAACAAAAGAGGAAGTGCATTTCTCACATCTATCTAAAGTAAAAATATTCACACACTGATCTTCTTCCTCTTTTGTTGACTTCTTGCATGTTGCTGTCTTTAATGTCCTCTGATGAGTCTGAACAAAAAACTCTCACAATGCTTTACGTTTCTGTTTTTTGCAGCAGCTTTTTACTTAAATATTGATCTTTTATTAAAATAATTAGAAATAATACTTGATGATTAAGTCTTTTATCCTCATTTAAAACAAAAAGATGTTTTTACCAAATAAAGCAGCGTGTCGCCCATCAGTCAGTGTGAGGAAGTGGTGAGTTTCAGGAAGTAGAAGCTACATGTGTGTTCAGGAGGCAGTCAGACAGTTCTGAGGGTGAGAGCAACAGACGCACGATGGCTCAACTCAGATGGATTCAAGGGTTTTTATTAATGATCCTGCAGCTCACAGGTAGG